AATGTAATGTTTCTTTTTTATTGGAGTCAGAGGTTGTTGAAGGGCAGTGACTCACATCCAACATTTCAGAGTCTGTTTTTTGGAACTTTCAACATGGCAAATACAATCCAAACTTAAGGTATGTGACACACTATGCCTGTTTGTACCAATTTGGGGAGCATCACTTCCCTACAGTTTGTAAAATGGAATTTAGAGTGGATACACATAATAAATTAACCTCTAAGAAATTGAACATGAACCCATAAACCTGAAGCCCAGGCACCAAGGTTATGGTGGAGAGAAGTATTATTTTATCAATGCAGAGTGTCATCATGTCATCACTGTTCAAATAAAGGAATGCAAAGCTGATGTTCTAACCCTGGGTAAAAAGTAATTCATCAAGCATAAAAACTACTTTTTCTCTCTAAGATCATGCTGATGCCAGTGAAATCAGGCCCTAACCTCTGTTTTTAACACAACACTTGGTCGACAGTCAATGAGCCATACTTTCACAGAGCCACTCAATATTGGACAGAGATTATGGGAGGAAAGGAAGACTTCCACTGAAACCAATGGGTAATCACCTTACACAAACTCTAGTTTCAGCAGGGACGTAGTAGTCATGCACAATGGTTAGGTGGTACTGTAATAGCTGCTTCTGATGCCTCCTAACTAGGTAATGAATGCTATATATATATATATATATATATATATATATATATATATATATAAAGCAATTATTTATTAGAAAAGAGGCAGCAAGTGTTTCTAAGAATATTGTAAGATGGATGAAACTTTGTTGTAGGTGCTACCATCATGCTTTGCATGTGAGGAAAACTTGAGGCAGATCTGACAATATTCCAGACCAAGAGCTGGAGGTAAAGCCACTGAGAGAGAAAGCCTCAGACTCTATTCCAACAGCACCCAGCTGGGGCTCAACTTTATCTCCATAAAGTTCTTCATACTATGAGCTTCTTTAAGTACCTCTTTGTATAAAGAAGTGGACCTGATACTTAGATTCAAGAGCTTGTGTTGTCAACTGTGAACTCCAGGAAAAGCAGTCATACTGGGATTCCCTCTCCCTCTCCCTCCATCTTTCCCTCCCTCTCCCTCTCTCCCTGTTCCTCTTCTTCTCCCTCTCCCTCTTCCCCCCCCTCACCAGGAGCCCATCAAAAGGAAACTGTAGAATAACAGAAAAATGGGAAAATATCAAGATCTTGAAGGTTAAGAGAATTCAAGAGTTAATGCGTTTTAAAGATTATTAAATTGTATTTTTTGAAGTGTAATTAAAGATATGACAAAAAACAGTCAATTAAATAAATATAACTGGACACTCAAGACCTTTGTTCATTGATTTTGTAAGTGTTGTCCTAATGTGTTGGATGCACAATGTGTCTCCAACTATTACTGATTCAAAAATCTGCTGAAGGTTGGAGAAATGTTAAATCAATCCTTAGGAAAATGACATTTGTTTTGAATGACTGTCCTCTCAGCTTCATTTTATATCTGAGAGAAGAAGTACTAATAGCTAAGAATTGTCTATATTTATATAAAATAATTCTTGTAAAAAATAATCTAAAAGATTTACAACAAACCATAAAAACACAGAAAACAAATGTAGCAATAGACAAAGGGGATTATGATGAACTAAAACTTTTCTAAATAGGAAAATAAGCAATTGTGAGTAAAAAGACCTCCTATAGAATGAGAAAATATAATTGTACTTTTGACCTTGGGTTAATATCAGGAGCTAAATATCAGCAACTAAAACAATTTAATAGCCAAAAGGGAAAAGGACAAATAAATAAATTTAAAAATGTGCTAGGCCTGAAAACTAGACATATCTCAAACACAGACAAAAAATAAGCAACAGCTAAATGAAAGAAAAATATTCACCCTAATAATCAGGGAAATGCACACCAAAATTACAATGAGTATCACTTTACTCAAATAGAAGGGCTATTATCAAGAAATAACATTTAATATTGTTCATAAGGATGTGGGCAGAAAGGGAACATTTTCACATTGCTGTTGGGAATATAAATTAATACAGAAGCTAATGGAAATCATATAGATATTTCACGGGAACAAAATAAAAACATGAATTATCACCAATTCCATAATATGGGTTATATAGCCAAAGGAAATTAGTCTCAACTTTGTATTTGATAATGATGGTTCATGCTGGTAATCAGAGCTGGGTAGGACACTGAGATAAAGAGCATCATAGTTGTACCAACTTAGGCAGAAAAAGTCTGAGATATTCTACCTCTTAAATAACCAGCAAAAAGCCATTCTAGAAGCATAACTCAAGTGAAAGAACATCATCTGAGCAAGCAAGTCAAGAAAAGGCAAGGTCCTATGTTCACACTCAGTACCAAACAAAAATATCTGTACAAATTGAATCCCATTTTTATTGTAGCACTATTCACAATAGTTAAATTACAGAATCAAGGGAAGTTTCCATCAGGTGATAAATGGAGACAGAAATTATGGTGTATATACACAATGAATTGCTATGCAGCAGTAAGAATGATAAAGTGTTTCCATTTATGGTAGTTAAATGAAACAAGGTAGGCACAGAAACAAATGATGCAAAATATTCATCATGTGGAATCTAAAATAGTTGATCTCGTCAGATGGTCTGACAAGGGGCTGGGAATAGTGATGGGGCCAGATGAGGAAATGATAATTAATGGCTAGTAGGTAAACATTCAGTAGGAATAAGAAGTTCTGGAATTTTATCCAACTGTGGGTTTGTATAAATGATAACTAGGTTCTAGGCATTAAAAAAGGAAGAAATAAACATTTTAGATGCTTCCTCCCTAAATAAAAGACCAATTATGAGAAAAATATTGTTTATCTGACATTTTACAATGTATACATGGATTGAATCATCATATGGCTCTTCATGATGCATACATCTGATACATATAAATTTTTATGCTTTGTGCACTATATAAAATACAATAATTAGAAGTATCCTGGGGCTTAAACGCTGGGCTTTGGCACTATCACTGAGCTTTTTTTGCTCAAGGTTAGTGCTCTACCACTTGAGCCACAGCACCACTTCTGGCATTAATTGGAGATAAGAGTCTCACAGACTTTCCTGCCAAGGCTGACTTGGACCTATGATCCTCAAATCTCATAGTAGATACGATTATAGGTGTGAGCAACAGGCACCTGGCTAGAAGAATCTTAAATAGCTTTATTTTTTATTTTTTTAATCAATAAGTTTTTTTATTGTGAAAATAGTTACAGAGGACTTACAATTACATGAACAAAGTAATGAATACATTTCTTTCTTTAATTGTGAAAATACTGTACAGAGGGGTTACAATTACATGGGCAAGATAATGAGTACATTTCTTATCAAGCATTGTAGCCTCCTCCTTTGTTTCCCCTTCC